TCCAACTGCAACTAACAAAATTAAATTAAAATTTACACCCAAACACTGCAAACAACATATAATGTGCATTACTATAAGCTTCCAAAGTAAGAAACAGCCAAGAAAGATGTTGAATTCGATAAAGAGCTAAGAATGATAGTTTCTCTACTTTCTCATATACATAAAATGACCATGTTTTCTCAGGGGAAAAAGGGAAAAAGACCATGTTCTGCTACCTCCTTCCACACGCAAGCTGGTTAGTTCTAGGCTTCTGGATAAGGTAGAGAAACTATGAAATTTAAGTTTTCTGTATGCTAGATCTAATTATGGTCTGCTACAACTCATTTTGGACAAGTGAGACCATGGAGCACAGTCAAACTATGAAATTTAAGTTCTCCATATCACATTGAAAAAAACAGAATTAACTACATTACCATGAATTTCCATACATGACTCCGTCCCTGCTTATTCTCCTACACCCTACAATCTTGAAATTCAACATCTTCATACGGAAGGGAATAAATTTCAATGGGTGAACAAAATGAAGACATATAGAACAATTTTCAACACGAAAAAAAATAACATTATATTTCAAACATAATGTTATGAATTCAGTGCCAAGTCAGCTGCCACCTCAGCATGAGCCAAATCAGCACAGGAAGAGTGCACGTGAGAGGCATCATCCACAGAGGCTTGCTGACTTTGTGTGGTTACTTATGCTTGTTTGGGCATTATAGATGAGAAAGGGTAATGAGGGGCCATTCATGCATTCTGTCAAGAGCTAATTACTTCTTCTCTCCGCTATTTTTCTAAGTCTGCAACTATCTTTTGAGAATTCAATAAAATCCACAACAATTCCCTTGAGTTCATATCACAGAAGCAACAAAACAGATCCATAGTTCACAGAGGCACAATAGAAAACTAATAATAATTCCACACATAAATTGAGCACAGCGTACAAAACAAGTGAAATCAGAGTGAGAAATAAATTTTGGAAGAACGCATGTAATCTGGAAGAAAACTAAAACTGGGTTACATAAAACACTATCTAGAATGCGGAAATAGGAAGATTCAAATACATGCTGAACAAAAATACCTAGAAAAGAGATTTAAGTAACAAAGTAACTAAAAGAAAATCAAAGCAGAAGGCAACCTGTAGTTCGTAAGCTATGCGTCTCAAGAACCAACATCAGCAAAGCATAGAATTCATCTTCATAGTCTAACACCTTATGCAGAATTGGTCTTCTCAATGCCAATACCTATCATTCCACAAATAAACCTCAAAATATTTAATCTCCAGTAGCTATAATAACAGTAATTATATCCATACAAAAACTGTAGTCATTGAAACAATCTGAAAATTAAAAAGAAAAGAAGCAGCAGCAATAATCAATCTACAAACTTACATTAAACAATAAGAAAAGAACTGAAGCTTGTTTCCCAGGCACTTAACTAAAACAATCAATTTACTTCATTCATCTTAACGAAAACCCAAGATTGACCCACTAGTCGGATAAACACATTTTATGTCAAAATTGAACAATTTTGAGAAATCAAGCAGAAAACTAAAATGGGTATTTCATAAATATATAAAAAAACTCTTTTTTTTCAAACGTAAAGACAAACAGATAGGCTGACCCCAATTGAATAAGTAAGGGCTGCACGGAGACTAGCCGGGAGCTTCTGAGCTGCAGCCATTTCAAAGAAGGTGGGCCGAGTCCCTTGTCCTTCCACTTGAAACAACATCTTCTTCTTCTTCTTCTTCTTTCGCTGCTGCTAATCTCTTCGCCTGAAACTTTCCAACTTCGGGTATTTTGATATGGGGCTCCAGCAGTTTCTTTACTTTGTTGAAGAACATTTATTAACTGGAAAAAAATACATATGAGACTTTTCTATTTTGAAAAAACTTAATATGACCATCAAATTAATTTTTTCATCGAATGTGACCCTCAAACTCATAAAATAAATTTAATATAACCCTTTGATCAATATTTTTTTTTTGTTATTAACCATTACACTATTGATATGGTGATTTACATTGTTGATACGACGATTTACAATGCTGACGTGACAGTCCACGATAGCTGATGACATAATAAATGAACTAAATAATTTACACTTTTATTATATTAATGTGTATCAATTTTTGTGTTTAATCGTCTAAATTTTAAGGATAAACTAAGTATTCATTCACCTAATTATTCCTATGGTTCCGTTGTGGTCACCAAACTATTTTAATTCAAAATATATCTAAAGTTTCATATTAATCATCAACCTAAAAATAACGATGATGTAAATGTGTCTCAATAAAGTAATGTCACATCACCATTGAAAAATATAAAAAAATAATCATCTCATAATTTTTATTTAGTGGCCAAAACAGAACTAGAGCATAACTTTTGATATGATTTTAAAAGAATAATAGTTGGATTACCAAAATAGAACTCAATGAGTAATTGGGTGACTGAATTAGAAGTTTACACAAATTAATTTTATATTTAATTAGAAAAAATACATATGGAACTTTTCTACTTTTGAAAAAACTTAATGGACCATCAAATTAATTTTTTTTATCGAAGGTGACCCTCAAATTCATAAAATAAATTTAACGTGGCCATTTGATCAACATTTTCTGTTATTGACCATTACACTGTTGATATGGTGATTCAAAATGTTGATGTGATGTTTCACAATGCTGACGTGGTAGTCCACGATGGCCGATGACATTATAAATGAACTAAATTGATGTTTTGATTTTATTCGATGGTCAAATTGATTTTTTTAAAAGTTCAGGGACTTATTTAATTTTAAAAAAAAAATTAGGATGAGAAATATTTTACATTTTTAATATATTAATCTGTATAAATTTTGGTGTTTATTCGTCTAAATTTTAAGGATAAATTAAGTATTCAATCACCTAAAACCTCTGTTTTGAAAACCGGACCGGATCGGCCGGTTCAATCGAAAATCGTTACCTAGTCCGATTCAATCTAAACCGGTTGAACCGCTACTAGTGAATCGGCCAGAACCACTGAACCGTTTGAACCGGACCGGCTGAAAACCGAAAAAACCGAAAATTTTGTTTTTTTTAAAAAAAAATTAAACCAAACGTCGTTTGTTAAACGAGCCAAGTCGAACTCGAGTATTGCTGAGCTCGACTCGAACTTGAAAACTTTAAAAGTAAGCTCAACTCCACTCAAACTCACAAGTTAAAAATTATCAAGTTCAACTCGAACTCAAAATATAATATTGAAACTTGAACTCAAAAAAGCTTGAACTAAAAAAAAAATTAGAAGCTAAATTGAAGCCTAAAATTCGAGCTTTATTAAAGTGAAAGAATAGTTTATTCAATGCTCACCAAAAGGCTCCATGATTTTGAATGTCAAATTACCTCTATTATTTATAGAAGTTAGTTGTGATGCTCTTCTATGTTTCTTAGCAATGTGTGATTGTTTTGTTCTCATATTTTTACTCTTTAGACTTTTGGGATGCTCTTCTATGTTTCTTAGCCATGTGAGATTGTTTTTAAAAAAAAAATTAAACCAAACAATATCATTTTGTTATGATTTTTTAGCCCCAAATTTATTTTTTAATTATAGTTATATAATTATATTTATTATTTAATGTGTTTTACCTTAAATATTATGTTGTAGTTAATTTGAATCATTTTGTTTCACTTGATTTTATGGTTTTTAATTTATATATGTTATGACTTGCTTTGAATATGACTTGTGATATAAAAAATTATTTTTTATTAAATATTTTTGGTATTTTTATTTAATTTTTTAAATAATTATGACGTCGTCCGGTTCTTTCGATCGGTCGGACTGGTTCGACCGGTTGAACCAGTGAACCGGTAGCATGGCCGGTTGTTCTGAAAACCATGCCTAAAACATAATTAAAACATAACTTTAGATATGATTTTAAAAGAATAATAGTTGCATTACCAAAACAGAACTCATTGAATAATTGGGTGACTGAATACAAAGTTTACACAAATTTTAATTTTATATTTAGGCTTCATTGCATTGACTGTTTGAATATATATATTTTTCTATAGCATTTGTACAATTAAGATGCCAAACCATCTTCAACAGCCAATTTTATTCTCTGGTTATGCTCTGCATTTTGTAGTTTGTTATTTTCTTAAATGATTAACGCCACTTCGTAAAAGAATAACATTTGTAGTAGTTAAAGCATAATTTTGAGTTACGTTTGGAATAATAAATGAATCGTCCTTTGCATATAATAATACTTTGCTTGGATTCAAAAGCAAGAGAGGTATGGGACAGGTTTTGAAAGCAAAGAATTTTGGAAGTTAATCTTCTGAAGGTATTAGCGTTTTATTTTTCTTGGGCGATTCCAAAATTAAGATTTACTCAAGATTAGAAAAGAAAGCAAATGAGCTCTCTTCTTCATTCAGGAAAAGTAGTTTACTTGTTAAAACTATAAAATTTTCATCTTTCAAGAGTTTCAGCCTCCAAATCATCCTCTCGAGATATTAGTCGTTGTTTTATCTTTTTGTTTTGTACCTGTAAAATGGAGTTCCAACATTTTATCCACGAGCATAAGCTAAGCTTTGTGGAGGTGGAGGAGAAAGACACGATTTCTTGCATGGGGTGCTTGGATATCATTGTAGGTCCGGCGCATAGTCACATGGATCGCGGTACACTCCGGTACGGGAACGTGGAACAGAATCGCAATTCGTTAGGTCCCTAAAATTCGGTACGAGGGGGTAGACTCATTTCGGATCGCTCCGGTACGATGTACCATATAAATTGGTATGATGTACCAGTTTCTTAGGTTGCTATTTTTCTACATCAAATTTTATAAGTAACTTCAAGACTTCAAATATCTTAGAGTAACTTCAATACTATAAATTTCATTCAGTAACTTCAATACTTCAATGTTCAAAAACAAATTTAACACTTCAAAAGTCAAAAGACTCAAAACAAATTACATAAACTCATAAAGTCATGAATAAACTTGAAACTTTAAAAGACATGATAAAACTAATAAAATTAGTCCACCCTTTGTTTTTTTCCTTTGCCATTATCGTTGTCTTCATCCTCCTCCAGATCTTCCCACACCATATCTTCTATCCTTGAGCTTTCCAAGTTTGTAGATTCGGGATCCATATCCCACTTCTTGTGTGGTCCTTCTTTATATACTTCAAAAAACCTTGAACTCAAGCAGATATTAGAATGAACATAAACAAGTTTGTCCGCCCTTTTACAGTTAAGCCGATTCCTCTTCACACTATGAATGTAGGAATAGGTGCTCCAATTTCTTTCGGCTGAAGAACTGCTTATAGGTTGTGACAAGATTTTTTTCGCCACTTCAGCTAATTCCGGTGTTTTGCGCCATAAGTAGACCACCAGTCAATTGCTTCCATAGTAATCGCATCCAATTGAGTTGCATGTAATGAATAAAGACCCTTCTTCATGTGAAACGTGGCAAATTGTTCTCGTAACATCCGTTCCTCGTCTCTATTTTCAACAATGCGACTAAAAGCTTCCATGACACCTTGTACAACCTCTTTATCAAGGTTAGGTGCTTTTCTTCGTATGCCACCCGGTGCTAACGTTTCAAGAAAATGTGTCATAAAATCGAGGACTTAAAGCAAATCCCAAACAATGTAAAGGTATGTTCATTTTCTCCCACCTTTTCAATAGAATTTGTTCTACTTGAGGGAAATAAGATGCATACATACTTTCCTTCATCACATCTTTGATTTCTCCAATCATATTATCCATCTTCTCATATATTTCGCCCATTTTTGGGCCTTCACCATTGCAAAACTTCACCATCAAGAAAATAGGCTTCGTGATTTTTAGAATGTTTTCAACTTCGTTCCAAAAATCATCATCTCTGATAGTGTCCGCAACAAGCTGTGCAATAGTTCTAGTATGTTCATCTCCTTGTTTTGCCCAATCTCTCCATGAATTTAGAGCAATTGTTGTTGAAAGGGCCTCTCTACAAGTGTTTAACCTCTTCAACAAAATGTAGTGAGAGGCGAAACGGGTTTTTGCAATCTTTAGTAGCTCTAACTTAGAATTGTCTCTAAAAATGGATAAAGCTTGTCCATGGTTCAAAAAATATTTGACAATCATTTTCCCTTTTTTATATGTATCCTCTAGCCAAATAAACTCATTTGCAAGGTCTTTAAAAATCAGGTTTAATGTATGCACACAACATGGTGACCAAAAAATATGCTTGTATACCTTTTCGATTTCCTTTCCCGCTAGTTTGCAATTGGATGCGTTGTCTGTGACGACACTGAGAACATTACTTGGGCCGACAGATTCAATCGCTTGGATCAGAAATTCAGCAATTGCTTTTCCCGTTTTCTCCACCCCAGAAAAATCTTCGGTATACATGAACATAGAACCACGACTGTTCACAACAAGAACATTGATCAAGGGTTTTTGTTTGATGTTTGTCCACCCATCAGATACAATAGAAAGACCTTGTGAGTACCATGTATCTTTAAATGGTGTTAGGTCCTTCTCCACATCTCTAACACATTCATCTAGTAGAACGGTTCTTGCTTTCTCGCTAGATGGCGCTTTATAACCTTCAGATGCCTTTCTTATTGCATTTATCATTTCACGAAATTGTGGATTACGCAAAATGTTAAACGGGATCCCGTTTGCACATAAAGCCTTCACGATTTTTAAATCTATCGCGCTTCTCTCCATTATAGAAAAAGATTGCTCTAACAGTTTCTTAGAGCTTAAATTCTGTCTTTTTGTAACTATAGAGCTTTTTAACGACTTAGAAACTCCTAGCTTCTCGGCATCTTTCACCCTCTTTTGCAACCGTTCGTAAGTGTCTCGATCTTTCGCTACAACAGGACATCTTCTAATTTTAGCCTTTTTTCCCAATGGGGCTCCAAAGAAGTGCACATGAATTCTAGTGTACGAACTTGTATACTTGCCTTTACAGTGATTGCAAATCCACTGTTTAGCACCTCCCGCATTCTTGCTATTTCCTGCACCAATTAAGGTTACTTCATCAAGGAGTGGCTTAATAGGATCATTCTCTTCGGTTAATTTTTTTGAATGACTGCCACTGGCACTGCCCTCACTTGCTGTTGTTGTTTGTTGCACATCATCATCAAGGTCAATGTAACCTTGTGTCTCACTGATTCCAGTCTCATTCTCATCATACTCACCATCTCTTCGATGATTCTGGCCAAATGCCATTGCAGATTTGCAGTAATAAAAAATAGAAATTGAAGAAGAAAAGAAGAGTTTATTGCTTAGTGAAGGAAATCGACATTGTCTATGGCTCTGTGCTGTGAGACCAACATAAATATTTATAGTAATTAAAATCAGAAGATAAAGAATCCATAATTTATGTTAAAGGAAAAAAACAAACCAGTCTCTTTGTCTTCCCACTTTCAGCAAACAAAGCAGGAAAATAAATAAAAAACAAAAGCTTAACCTCAACCGGCACACTCTTAATTACCTTACTTGGATCGTTTGACATAATAAGAATAATAAGAAAACAAAATTCAATCTAATAAAATATAGTTTTAACATAAAAGTTACTTTTATACTAAAAAACAAACCAAGCTCTTCGTCTTCCCACTTCCATTTTCAATTTATCTCTTATTTTGCCATCTCTCTCTCTCTCTCAATCCCTTCATTTCTCCTTTCTGATTTCTCTTCTCCTTTCTGGTTTCTCTTCTCTCCATAATCGAAGATGCGTGAGATCCTTCATATTCAAGGTGACAAGTGCGGCAACCAAATCGGAGCCCAGTGAGATCTTTCATTTATCCTTTCTGGTTTCTATTCTGTTCAGAACGATGAATCGATAGGTTCAAGTCGCGATTTGAACATCAATTGGGTCGATTGGATGGTCAACTTTGGATCGTAGAAGCTTTCATATCGAATCGCGATTTTGGAACGATCCGGAATGCGTTCGTACCGCGTTTTGGATCGAAGCGTTCAGTACGTAGATCGTGGGAACTCTAGCGATTTATGTAACTATGGTCCGGCGTATTCGTGTCGAGAATGTCAGAATGTTGCGATGCAAAAATCATGCGCTGGATTGCCGCCTCAAATCCATAAACACACTTTTCACCCCCATCCACTCAGATTCAATTTATGGGATTTATTTTTGTGTGATGCATGTAGAAGATTGACGTTTGGTTTCATCAATTACCAGTGCATGCACTGTGAGTTGAAGCTTGATTTCAGATGCGCTATGGCTATTTTTAATGATGAGAATGAGGTAGCTAAGCGTACCGAGGAGGAGGATCGCCCAATTCACCATTTCTGCCATCCACATCAACTCAAACGCTGCTTGTTTTCTCCGACGACCCAGTCGGAGAAAGAATTCTAGGAGAAAACAACGATTAAGTGTGTGGCATGCAATCAGTAGCCCCGATGGACTACACCAGTTTATATGTATTTCTGTCTTGTGAATTTCTCATCCATGAATCATGTATGAATGAGATGCCAGAGCATGTTGAGAGGAGCACCTTTCACCCTCACCATAATCTTCGTCCTCGATCATATACCGATGCAAGGGTAGAAGTTCGATGTCATGTTTGTCTGGGTACTATAGACGGTTTCAGCTTCTACTGCAATGAATGCGACTTTAACTTGCATGTTTCATGTGCAAAGTACCGAACTCGTGCTATAAAGCATACTTGTCATCCTCACAATCTTCTACAACTCGGGAAAAGCATTGTTGAAGTGTAAGTATCAGTTGGAAGGTGTGCCAGCTGGATCGGTTTGTTGCTGCATTTTATAACTATTTTCTGTTAAGGTTGTTAGGTGGTTAAGCCAGCTGTACATTGAGTTAAACTCACAGTGGTAACTCAGCAATCAACGTGGCTATATTAATATATCTTTGGATCAAGGATAATGATCATTCTATTAGCCTACATTCTGTTTTCCCTTTGCTTTCTCTCTTAATTTCTGTTTTTTTTTGGAACTGTGTTCCTCACAGTTTTAACATGGTATCAAATGTCTAGTGATCCAATTACCAGTGGCGTTCACGGTGATTTCTCTTTGATCATAACGTTTTTTGTTCATCATGCCTGACTCATTCGTTGCGGTTGAAGCTACGTCGGAGGAAAGTGGTGCTACTGCAGTCAATAATCGGGTGATGGAAATGCCGTTTATGAACAAGTATGTTAATGTTAGACTGGATGATAACAACTTCCTTCTCTGGAAGCAGCAAGTTCTCCTTATGATTCAAGGACATGAACTGGAACACTTGTTGGATGAGTCGCTGCCGATTCCACCTCAGACCGTTGTTGATGAGTCTGGTGAGTTGATAGTGAATCCTGCGTATCGGCGCCACAAAAAGCAGGACAGCTCGTTAGCATCCTGGCTTCTCTCAACAATCAGCTCCTCGATTCTTCCTCAGCTTGTAGGAGCACACACTTCTGCCAAGATCTGGAGTATAATGCTCAACATGTACTCGAAGCTCTCCACTACGAAGATCTCTCAGGAAAGGAGATTTATCTGTCCATGAATTTTCCACACAAATCAAGGAGATTTGTGACCTTCTTGCGACTAGTGGCAGTCCAGTATCTGAGATTGACCAAACTGTTACACTGCTCAACGGCCTCCCAGCTGATTTTGAGCCATTCGTTGCTGCTATAACCGTGAGTCGTGAACCGTTTACTTTTGACACTGTCACTTCAGTCCTCATTGATGCTGAATCGAGAATTAGTGATCTTATGAAGACATCGGTCAGTATCAATTTGACTCGACATAATAATAACAATGGAGGCAATGCTAGTGGCAATCGTGACATGTATAACAATAACAATAGGTCGAATGATACTCGAGAAAAACCTCTTAACACAAATAAGTACAAGGGCAGACCAAGGCATCAATGTCAATTATGTGGGAAAATCGGTCATTTAGTGGATAGGTGTTGGCACCGTTTTGATAAAAATTACAAAGGAGTAGCTTCGAGGCAGTCCAGGAACACCAATGAAATGCAAGCTAATGTGTGCAAATATGATGTCAATGATTCGTCTTATAATCCGTTTGTTCACACAGCTACAGGTGGTGAAGTGGTTAATGAAGATGCCACCAATGACACTGTGCAGATCAATTCTCTCATTGCCAAAGGAGTTTTATCTACTGCTGACAAATGGTACCCCGACTCAGGCGCCATGCACCATGTGACCTATGACAAAGCTGGAGTGTCCTCGGGTCATCCATACACGGGTAAAGGTAAGGTTTACTTGGTGATGGTTCTACTTTACCTATCTCACATATAAGTAATGTGTTGTTGACTGCCAATACTTGTGAGTTACAGCTTGAAAATGTCTTGTGCGTTCCTAAAATAACTAGGAACTTATTATATGTCTCTAAACTTACACAAGACAATAATGTTTACATTGAGTTTCACTCGGATAAGTGCTTTGTGAAGGATGAAAGATTGGTCAAATTCAGCTCAAAGGTAAGTTGGAGAATGGGTTGTATTGCTTTGATAAAAGTACTCAAATGGATAGCATGCTTCATCAGATTACTGCTCCTGCTGAATAAAATGATCTTAAGACCAATAAAAGCTATTGGCTATGGCATAGAAGGTTGGGACACCCTGCGTCTAAAACCTTGTCTACGCTACTTCACATTAGAAATGATGTTAGTAATAAGGAAATATGTGTTGCGTGTCAGTTAGGGAAAAGTCATAGACTTCCTTTCATGCAATCTGATACAGTTTATAATAGCTTGTTTGAGCTGGTTAAAATCGATGTATGGGGACCAGCGCCGATTAAGTCTGGTGGCTGGCAGTATTATGTTTCGTTTGTTGACATGTACAGCAGGAATGTCTGGGTATACTTGATGCGGAATAAATCAGATATTGTTCAAGCATTTAACTTGTTTCATGCTCTTGTTAAAAATCAGTTTAATACTAACATTGTTGTTCTACAAACTAATGGTGGAGGTGAGAATCGTGGTCTAGCGAGTTCTCTTGCAGCTGCAGGAATTAAGCACAGGGTTACATGTCCACATACCTCGCAACAGAATGGCGTTGTTGAGCGTAAGCACCAGCATATCATTGATATAACTTTAACTCTCCTAGATCAGTCAGTAGTCCCCTTCAAATACTGGTCGTATATTGTTCTTACTGCAGTTTACCTAATCAATAGGTTACTTGTAGATTGGCTTGGTGGAATTTCACCATTTGAGAAGTTATACAAGAAGAAACCGGATTATCAGTTCCTTCGCGTCTTTGGCTATCAGTGTTTTCCGTGTCTTCGACCTTTCAATCGACACAAGTTTGATTTCAGATCCAAGTCGTGTGTGTTCTTAGGCTACTCACCACATCATCGTGGGTATCAATGTCTTTGATGAATCAGGACGTGTGTACGTTTCTAGACACGTTGTGTTTAACGAGAACATATTCCCCTGTGCGTCTCAACGTGCAGATGCTAACAAAAATGCTAAACAGACTGGATGGGATGTTCCTTTTCCCTGCCATGAGTCTAGCCTAACTAATCGCGAGGATACTGTTTATCATGATCCAGTTACTGTCCCTGACATGGTGCATGACATTGTGGCAGGTTCAAATCACACACCTAGTATAAGTAGTGGTCGTGATGATGGGATTCATACGATGGCGATTGAACCAGATGTTGTTTCCGGGGCTGCTGCTCCACTGGAGGCTAATTACAGTAAGCCTATGTCTTCAGGTGATGCCATAAGTAATTACCATGATAGTCCAGCTGTTAGTCAGGAGCAAGGTGGTTCAAACAGGACAGTAATTGATGAAAACAACTGTGTGCATGATCAGCACACCACGAATAAACATCACATGGTCACTCGCAGCAAAGTTGGAACTTTTAAGCCTAAGATTTATAACACGTTGTTTAACGAAACTCCTCTAAATGTGCAGGAGGCCTTACAACATAAATACTGGCGGGCTGCAGTTGAAATGGAGTTCAAGGCTCTGACTGACAATAACACATGGAAACTAGTTCCTTTGCCAGCTGATCGGAAGGCCATTGGCTGTAAATGGTTTTTTCATATTAAGCATAATTCTGATGGCTCTATCAATCGCTTCAAAGCGAGGCTTGTAGCAAAAGGGTACTCTCAAGTACCAGGATGTGACGTTGTTGACACCTTCAGCCCGGTAGTCCGGTTCTTCATGATAATGTGTTATTATCGGTTGCAACCTCACGAGGGTGGCAAGTCTACCAAGTAGATGTCAATAATGCTTTCCTCAA